GGTTGCCCAGAGAGGTTGTGGATGCCCCATCCCTGGAAGTGTTTAAGACCAGGCTGGATGGGGCTTTGGGCAACGTGGTCTGGTGGAGGATGTCCCTGCCCGCGGCAGGGGGGTTGGAACTAGATGATCTTTGAGGTCCCTTCCAACCCAAACCATTCTATGATTCTGTGATTCTGAATGGTGTTATTTTGCCAGGATCCTTACCACAGACCTAGGAAGATTAACTTAACTTTTTATTTCTGCTTATGCATCTAAGGACAAGTTTTTATTCCAATGTTTCCCACTGGGAGCTCATGGTGAATCACTTGTCCACCACAGCTGCACAGGATTTAGGGGTACTTGCAACTTTCTGGCATAAAACCCACCTTATATAGAATCATAGAATGGTTAGGGTTGGAAGGGACCTCAAAGATCATCTAGTTCCAACTCCCCTGCTGTGGGCAGGGACACCCTCCACTAGACCACGTTGACCAAAGCCTCATCATATAGCTATGATCTGAATATTTTATACACTGAATAAAAACATTAATTTAAGACCAAGCACTGCCAACGTCTCCAATAATGCCCCTATTCCTAATGTAAACTATTTTGAGATTGTTGGTCAGCTCCTAATCTTGGTACGGGGTGATACTGCATAACACTCATGTTTTGCCAAGAGTAATATGATACTTAACGTGATAATTAACTGCCAAGCACTTGACTAATTCTAGATGCACCTATATTATAATCTTTATAAATTCTCTTTTTTCAATTAAAAAAAAACATAACAAAATAATGATAAAACCCACCAAAATAACAAACAACAAAACTTACGTTTCATAAAACTATGCTGACTAGTGTGACTTGAGTCCTATATCAGCTTTTGCATTATTTGGCCCAGGATGACTGTTACTGCTACCTAGCATATAGTAACCCAGTTCATTCCCTAGTTAAGGGGATAATTGGTCATAAATTTGTCACATGTGGACTCTTCTGCGGTTTCCGTGCTATTCCAAGATTTAATTTCAGTAAGACAGTTCTCTCTGGCTGCCTCAGGAGCACACGGTGCTGGTAAAGCATGCAATGTTAGAACTAAGAAAGTGAAACTAGTTTCATAATTTGTTTACCCCCCCCCCCCCAAGGAAAAAGGACTAAAAAATCTGAAGAACGCAATTTGCCTGCAGATTCAGAATATGCTTATTCTATCAAATTTAGCTTTCATATTTATTGTGTTTTACTACATTTATAGTGATTTTGTCAAAGAAACTAGTACTTAGAAACAATGAGAAACCATACCCTGAAATTACAGAGTCTGACATCAAAGAAGGAGGCATAATTTTTTGAAGAAAACTGGTGGGTTTGCCAATTAATTAATTCTTTGCTTGTCATACTGACTTCCCCTTAAAGATTTCAAAACACTTAAAAAAATACATTGCACTCTGTAACAGCACAAACTTGCTGGGAAAGCTGGAAGGAGTTGTGGCCTTCCCATTAGCAACTAGCTGTAGAGGGAGGAGATGTTCCTACATCATCTGCCAGGGTAATATCTGACAGCTTTTCTCGTCTGTAGTCTCAGCTGTAAGTTGCAAACTCCACTTCAGTGTGCCAGGAAAGCAGGTAGGACTTTAAGTGGATGATAGAAGAGATCAGGGAACTGATCTGCATGGAAACATCCAGAATGTTGTCTGAAGCCAACTAAAAGAAAAGGTCCTGGGCAGCATCTCTTCACCTCTCCCTCCCTCCCAGCCAGGCTTTCCATGACACATTGCTGTCATGAAAATCAGAGTGACTGGGAATTGCGAGCTGTCTTCTGCCTCCCACTCTGTTTGGTTGCTGTGACTCTCACATTAACAAGGTTAATTCTATCTTACCATTTTAGGGTTTATGCTGATACTTATAGCCATCAAAAAGCGTGCTGTCATGCAATTGAAAAAAGAAAGCGTACTGTAGATTTTTATCAGCCATGATTCATAAAGAGAGATGCTAGGACCCTCTTTCTGCTCCGTAAAATGACTAGTTGAGTGACAATAACTTTTGATAGACATCATGAAGAATAATATGCTTTCTGTAGTTTTCATTTTAAGCATGTCCACACTGGATGAATTATTATATCTTATGTGTGAATACGTAACAGTTTTACGCAACTTACAGCTTGGCTGAATTCCCAGAAACCTTTGAGACAGTCATATTGAAACATTATTGATTTTTAGATCTGATTAGGAAGCTTACAAACTTAAGTGCGTGTAATCTTGGAAGCCAAATTACAACAAAAAAATTAGAAGCTATGTAATTTTTTCCTATTTTTTCTCATGTTCCAAGAATTTCCAAATTTTAGCCTGGACATGTTAGAAAAGGTCTCGGAACAAAGAGACCTCGTTCAATTTCTGCCTTCTCTCCCAAATTATGAAAGTGGTGTTCCGGAGAAGTCTTACTGGGAACAGGCTGCAAAAGTAAGTTTTGAATCCGATAACATTGTTCCAAGAAGAAACTTATTAAAAAACCACCAAGAAACGAACTTGGTCAGGAATTTTGCTCATTTTGCTTTTTGAGATTCCTTGTTTTCTGTTAATATACTGAATTATCACTAAACAAATGTAGATTGTCTAAACATTCTCATCAGTCTCAATTTCAGACAAGACACAGATTCCGCTAGGTTAACTAAATGTTACTTTGATCAATACCCTTTCAAACTCTGGATGACCCAACAATTAGTAGGTAAGTACATTCCTTCAAATCCAACATCCCATATATATGTGTGTGTGCATATGTATATATATATGCATTTTCAAAGGAAGAGTCAAGTGCATTAGGAGACCAAGGTATCGGATATTAAAGCTCCAAAGTGAGGCTTTGGCAAGTCAAACCAGATCCTTTGCTCCTTCATGATTTTTCCAGGCAAGTTCTAGGCTAACATGACATGGAAAGACCAAGGGGAGTATGAATGTAGAGGGGCTCTTTCTGTATGATATTCGCTTCTCCAGGATTACTACTTCAACTCCACAGATAAATCTTATCTCTCAAGTGCTCTGATTAAAATAAGCAAGTTCAACTCACAAGCTGTTTCATACATAGCTTTGTATTGAGTAATGGTATTCCACACCTAAATACAAAGTTTTAAGCCAAAAGATTGTATCATTTTTTCCCCCACCATGTCGGTTTGTCTAACCTTAAATATATTGCCTCATTTCACCAATCATCTGAGTTAGTTTCTTCCCATTTGATTAACTGTTGCTACAGTATTACTTTTAAAACAAACAATAGGTTTTTACGACAATAAACATTTTTGCAGCCTTATAAATATTTTTAGAGCCAGACAATGACAGGAGAGAATCCCTTTTATATATACTATCTTCTGGAAATGCTATTAATTTTTTTCTGTGTTGGTCATTAAATAGCCATTTTGTAACTGATAATATAAGTCTTAGACAAAGACTAGCCATTACACAAACACTGTGGGAAAAGAATTTGTAAGAAAATGGAAGACTAAATAAGGCCTTGAATAGCTTTATTGAAATCTGTATAAATAAACATGCGCATTTCAAATGTAAACCCAAGTGAACTCAAGTGCAGACAAAATTTTAACCTCTGTCATGCAGGAGGTTAGTTTACATTTAAAAAAAACAAAATCTCAAAGCAGCTTTAAAATACCAGGATGAAACACCAGTTTTAATATCAAGGTATAAAGCAAAGCCATGTCCAACATACCTCATTTATATCCTGGTCAAATGCAATTTTTTAAACTTTTTAATGCTAACATAAATAAATAATTTACCAAAATGTGCACTCACAGAGTGAACTTTTATTTACAATACACAATTTATAACCTATTGTATTTGATTAGTTCAAGTGAAGAACATCATACTTTTTGCTTTTTGCTTTTTTAAATTATTTGAACAGTGGGACACAAAGCAATTCTCCAGGTAGTAGATATGTGAAGTGTGCCCCTGCACTTAAGAGCCCCTCTCAAAGGCAGTATTGTATACAAACCAACAATACATTCTTCCAACTAGATCAAAGGGAAAACAGCAAATTAAAAAAAAAAAAAAGTTTCAAACTGTCACACTTATTTTGGCATCCTGGACCCCTGAACATCGTTAACTAAAATCCAATTCAAAGTTTGTATGCCTTATATACTGTACAGGTTCTGACTCGAACATGCAAAAGCCAATTCTCTTACAATGAGTTACCTTTTCAGATATGCTGTAAGGCTATGGTGAATTCCATCAGAAATACACAAAGAAAATTAACAGGCCTACCTTTAAAGTCATTTTGTTCATTAACAATTTAAAGGCAGGTTATATTGAAAAAACTCTCATCTAAGCCCAATACACAGTCATTACTATGGATACAGAATGCTAATAACTCTGACCCTATTACAGAGTAGTTTGCAAGCTGTCAAACTACGAAAACTGGGGAGAGAGAACTTACAGCACAATTTTAAATTTTGGACTGACATCAGATTAAAATTATGCATGTCTTATAAGCAAGATAACAGGAATTATGTCTGCAGAGTAGATTCCAACAAGCAACAAAGGATACTTACATTTAATTGAAAAACTTTTTGTTAATGCAGCATGAAATCCAGAACCTGTTCCACAGCAGCGGTAAGATGAACATAATATTCTGGATGCTCAACTATATCACAAAAGGTTAAAACACCTTTTCAAGCTATTTCTTCTATTGTGATTGAATTAAAAAAAAATAATTAGGGAGAAACAAAAATTTGCTGTTTCAAGAAAACTACTGCTTATATATTTATGACATTTTTACTTGTAGTCTGTGTGACAGCCTAAGGAACATGTATATATTCATCCAGAAACTAGACTTGGCAGTAGTATTCTTGCAGTACTAAGAAAATAAACGTCAGAAGTCCACAGATTTAACATTTTAGTTATTAACTCACATCCAAAACAAAAGAAAACATAATCCATCAGAACAGCAGCAGAAAACTTAAAAGGGGTTTATTTGTGATTTCCTATATATAGCTTGTGAATACAAGACTGTAAATGCATTAGAGACAATTTCTGTTTAAGTTTTTATTGTTTCACTTCAAGTACTGCACATGTTAAAATGTAATAAAGATTTACATTCTGTTATCTGAAATTCCCCATCTCAGATTTTTATTCTTAATTTGGTGGGCAATTTCACTCTTTCAATAGATCCCCAGTAAGAAAGTCTCTTTTATGGCTTCTAGTTTTTCCATTAGTTAGTGTGCATACAATTTTCATTTTCTATATCGTTATCATTTTCATTGCTGTCTTCATCACTTTCTAGTGGGATGCCTGTGGCAGCTGAAGCACCTTGTTTAGTTTCCCTGTCAAGAGGGAAAAAGCCAGTTCCACTGATTGTGTCCTGCCTCTGGTAGAAGAGCACATATGCTGCTTTGGACTGTAAAAGAGAAAAGTGGAATATGCTCATGAGGCTCCAGACAAAACATTTACAATCCAAATTATCAATTTAATTTTCTTCTTTTTGCTTCCAAGTCTGTAAGGTAAAATTACAAAGAAATCCAAAGCTTTCGTATCAGTCATTTTTGCATGTTGGAACAAACCGTTTTTGGTTTGCGCTGTCCTTTGAAAGAACACAAATTATTACCTACAAATTTACTGCAAGGTTCATGATTTACTCTTCATTTTTCATCCCTCAAGAAGAAAACATCATCAACAGTCCCAATTTTAGAAACACAAAAGGTACTTGCCACTATTTGGTCCTCACATGCAGTGGACACACTACTGTCATCAAAGTAGTACCATTTTCCATCGTCCTTATTTTTTGCAAAAGCAGTATCTAGGACAAAAAAGTACAATGTCTAAGGCCTTTGTATCTTCATAGATGTAATACAATCAGTTGCTAGAGTCTGTTACTGCCAAATACTTGACATTTAACTAACCAAAACCTATTATCACCATTAGACTAGAACTTTCACACTTTTTTTTTTTTTTAGGCAAGAAAAGCTTAACCAATAATGTTCCCCTTCTAAAGAGAATGTATAGTGAGAAAGGACAGTCAAAATAAAATTCCTCAGTCACTTTTTCATTTTTCTCTCTTCTTTCAAGGACATGCACAATGTACAAAAATACAGACAAGTAAGACAAAATCAGCTGTCGGAGTACAGTAGCTCTTATGGAGCTCTTACGTTTTCTCTTTTCACAATATGCATAGCTAGAAGTATAAAAGAATCTGCAGTTATCCTTGAAAGCTCATTCATATAGATTTTTGTGTTAGAATACTTGTGAAAGCATTTCAAGGTAATGAAAAAAATTGTCCCTCGACCATTAAAAAAATACCATTAATTCAAAGTGATCAGTACTTAAATCAAAACAAACACAGAAAGAACGCTGACATGTAGAATGATATTTGAAATCAACTTACAATGCCCTCCTCCCATTCCTCCATAGTGGTTGGAGACAGCAATCAAGTTGTAGCGGCAAGGCCCTGCATTGGGATTAATAAGGAACTCTGACATGTCCAAGTCACTGTTTAACAAAAAACAAAACACACACACACACAAAAAAAAAAAACAACCAAAAGAAGGTCATGTTAATAATATTCTTAACCATTTCACATTTTGGTGGTCTTTCAGCCCTTTATATTCCCCACCAAAACCACACACACCAGACTACACTGACAGTGCATCTCTTTCACTCTGTGAGGAGCGGAACAGGAACCAGTATCTTAGCCAAAACTACTGATAGAGTTCTTCCATAGTTATCTACTGCTATTATTTTTCCAGGTTCATACTTTTCACCTACAAGCATTTTGTCATCAGCGTTTACTGGATCCACGCATGGAAGCTGAGAACAAAACCATTATACATAATTGCTGGATTAAATGTTGCCTTAGTCATGCCAACTTTAACACTTCCAGCACCAAAATATTTAGGTTTCTTACTTTATTGGAAAGTCAACCAATGTATCCAACTTGTCCCTCATATATCTGCTGTAGGAAAAGCGCTTTAGATGAACTACCAGTACGGGGGGCAGTGACCACAAGTCTAACTTCTTGGTAGCTTGCTGATGTTCTTTACAGTTTGGACAATACCTAAAAGAAAAAAAAAATCAATTTTAAATAACTGCAGTCTGAATGCATGTTAAAATACATTACCATAGAGAAAATAACATAGGAGAAACTGAATGAGCAAAAGCTGAAACATACACACATCTTCTGTTCCAGCTTCTGTTACCAATGCCATTGATATCCCTTCCAGTTTAAAATGTGAGGTGCTAGTGTGCAAGTGTGCTCATGGTGAAGCTCAACAGCATTTTAAACACAAAAGTTGCACCCCCAATAAAGGATTCTCATCTCCTATAGTAGTCCCTGTATCTTTAGTTAAAACACAGCTTTCTCGTATTTTATACAAAAAGCTGAAAGCCATAAATAACAGACAACTGTGGTTCTCGAAAGTTTTAATTTCCAAATTCATCCATCTTCCACCCACCACTAAAACCAGGTAACAGTGACTACGGAACTTGAAAAAACTCCTCACTAAAAAAACCTGCCTCCTTAGTAAGCAAGTACTAAACAGGCTGTGACTTATAAATTTCTGTTCCCTGCAATGCATACTTGAATCTTTCAAGAACTAAGGCCTAAGGAGGAAGGTAAGTAATGCATGGAAATAACTCTTCTGTGAAGTGGTCTACCCATATTCTACATTTTGCTATGTAACAAGTAAAAATCTAGGGGAGGGGGGGAAAAAAAAAAAAGAGATGAGCTTTAATTAAAAAAGGCTGCACAAGTGTCTTTACATAGCAACTTCAGATAAAGACAAGAAATTAGGAGAACTGTAAGGGCAGGCTCAAACTGAAGAACTATTCCTAGCACTGGACTAGGGATGATGAGCTCTTGTAGATTAGACCTGTGAAGACCTGACACATGAAGAAAGAATGTGACTAATGACCTCTGGTGAGAAGTATCTAGTAGCAACTGCTTGACTTTAGCAGTAGTTGTATTTGGCAGTTTAAATACTCTGCTTAAAATGTGCTGCAAAAATGGAAGCACTTCAGCGTACTTGAGTTATATGGTATCTCAAATAGTCTATCCAGTGTTGTATAATCCAGGCAACCCAGAAAAAAATGAGAATTTCTAAGTCAGCCCCCTCCCCTGCCAAAATAATGGCGGATCTCTGGTGACAAAGTTTGGAAGTCTCCAAAACTTCTAAGTATCCACAAAAGAAAAAGTGCAGACCCTCTTTTCAAACTTAATTCTGAGCTTCAGATGTTGATGAAGGATTCTTATCTGCTAGAAAATTCCTGGAGAAGAAGGACCTTATGGGAATACCCTATAATTGCGAATATTAAGACATGATTCTAAATCGGAATTTGGAAGAACCATGAATCAGAATCAAAGTCTCTGCCAAAATCTTAATGGTTGGAACATGAATTTGAGAGGTTCTACTGACTACAAACATCCTCCCATCCCACAAACCTGTTGTTTAAGCACATTCCTATTTCATCTATCAATGTAATGCAAGTTACGTATTTGATGAAAAAAACCTTCGGTATGCACCAACCTTTCTCATCTCAGAAAGTGTTTAAATCACTGCATTGAATTTGGCACAGTATTATTCATTCACTGTGGATCACAGTTCACAGACCAGAATATCTTATGGATCCACCCTTCCTCCTAATTCTGAATGCACTGTCTCCCACACAAACATAAATTGTTACCATATACAGAAGGTTTAGTTAAGCAATGGATCAAAATAGAAAACATTTTGAGAATTTTCAACTACGCTTGAAATTACAAGCTTCAAAATACCATTAAGAAATCAATTAGGTAACTCTGTTAATGGTGAAGTGTGGTTTTGATTACATTTTGAGAAATACACCATAGAACATAACAACTTTAATTTTTTGTCCTTACCATGGGTCTTCAGCACCTAGTTTTTCCTTTGTTGTGAACAGCTCAATGCAATCTTTTAATTTCACAAAGGGCTTTTTAGGAGGTTTATATTCCACACTGTCATGTTTTTCAAAATCCTAAAGAGAAGTATTTCTTGAGTTAAGAGAACAAATGAAACAAAACTCATTTTAGTGATGTCGTCTTACTATAAACAGTAACTACAAAGCTCCTATATATGGAAAAACTGATCAGAAACCATTCAAGTGAAAAGTTTTCACAGCTTCAGATTTACCTCCAAATTAGTAAGCCTCAGATTTGCCAATCACTTAGATGAATAAATTAAGTTTATTTATGACAACATATTACCAATAATGTGAAAAAAAGATATACTAGCTTCTCCTTTTGAAGACTTACAATCTCTTATGTCACATGAATGAAGTTGTATTTTTGACTTTTAAGTTTCATTAGTGCTGGAAACGGGAGCAACATAAACAGCTTACCTCTGCTGCACTATCATCAAAATATCTCTTCTTCAATTCAGGATCCCAATCCAAAGCAAGGAAGGATCTTTCTAAGATTAAAAACATGTTTTCTCTTAATATTATTTCTCGCTTTAGATGAAATTGCATTAACTTTGGGCAAACACTCTTCAAAATCAATGAAACAATGCTAGCATGAATTTAAGACGAAGAATTGAAGCACACACAATTTCTGCATTTCTAAGGGTTAATTACAATAACAAATTAATTATTTATACATAATTTACTATTGGAAAAAGAATATATCAAATAGCACACAGAGAGAATGAAACATTATTCTATGGAAGTGGAGACAGAAAAAACTATCAGAATCAAATGTTGCCCAACCTCTTCCCTATGACTTACCGTCAAGCCTAGGTTGCCTATCATCAAATCTAATGTGCCTGGTATCATCTTTGATGTAGTTTATGTCAGTATTGCCTAAATTATTGAACTGGAATGTAAACAATCGCTTTTTGTGTCCCGTGAGTGGTTGACCTTTGCAAGTATCCTCAGTACATAATCCATTTTCAGAGTCATTGTCACCTCCCACTGAGTCTTCTGACTGGCTGTTTTCATTCTCCGAAGGAAGTTCCTGATCCTGGCTGGATTCATCATCTTGTTCATCTGTTTCCATTTCACCTGACACAATTGGAAGAATAAGGAGGAAGAAATGAAGTAGAATAACAATAATTGAATGACAATACATAATTAACTTGAGTTTCAAACTGAACACAATACACTAAACAAGTTTAGATATTCCACAGTCTTACTTGGAGACCCTTCTTCATGTATTCCATTTGGGCCATTACCATTGATACCATGGTCCTTACAGCAATGTAGGGATCCTTCAGTGTCTTCACTTTCAGTACATGTTTTTACGTATCGGCTAAATATAACAAATGAAAGCTACAGTTAGAATCAATGGATTTTTAAATATTTACATTGTTCAAGCCAGATAATCAAATGGTTACAGCAAATCCTTTCTAGTGTACTGTATTCCTACACTCCTTTCTGACCTATTCAGAATTAATAGTTTTATTGCCCAACATGTCTGTATCTACATCTGAAATTCTGCTTGCCTATGATCCCACGTTTTTGGCAGTTACTTGATTTTGTACAACTTTATTCTTGGTATTAGTCTCTGTTTATCCAGAAATCACTTCTTATCTGTTCATTAACCGTATTTTTTTTTTTAAACACAAAAAAAATATATGGGTTTCCTTACAGAGAAAGTTACATCAACAAAAAATGAAGCATAAATTTAAATTGGAGGTTATATGATTCTAATTTCTGCCACATAACAACACTTATTCCAGTCTAGTTTCAGAAAGTGTCTACCATGTAATTTTACAACATAAATTAGTATATAAACTTGTATAGTAGATACAGGAGGTATAACCATAGCAGAATAATTGGCAAAACATTTCCATTTTACCAAGCCCTAACAGACAGCTGTGTATACAGCAGAATTAATTCCCCTAAACTGACAATGCAGATTGACTCTCTGCTGTATTCTCAAGTGATTTTTGGATGAGGTCATGCTAACAACAACAAAAAAAATCTAATTACAATCCATGCTAGTTCACATCTCAAGTGGCTAAAATTTTAGATTTAATATATTTAACAGAAAGCAAATAAAAAGACAAAGTACTCAAATCTAATCAGTTTGTTAAGAATGCATGTAAAAATAAGTGCCTACTGATTTCAACTATTAGCATTATTCATAACAAATGTGTTTTTCTTTAAACATTAACCTTACCACATTCTAAGCAGCAACAGGTTATACAGTTTATCTTCAGTATTGTTTCTAGGCACTGCTATGAGAAAAGGTTGACCAAACAGTGAAGAACCACTATGGCTGTAGCTAGTGTGCCTGCACTTTTCCCTTAAACAAACAGGAATTATAACTTGTTCTGTATCTTCTGTTCTATTGATAGCAATTTCAAATCTAAAAGAAAAACAATCAGAAATACAAAAGACAACTGTCATTTAAAAGGCTACAAAAGGGGAAAAATTAAAAAATAGTACCCCCCCCCCCCAAGATTTGTCTTTATCTTATGTCTAGGTTTTAATCTTTTGCAAATAACTAATCAAACTGCAAAGAGCCATGAAGCACATTATCTGTACTTACACATAAATGTCATCACGTTCCATAATACTACTTAGATTTTCATCCATGCCAAATATCCTATGGAACCTGTGATTGTATATATCAGTAACAATCATCTGAAAAGAAAATGGGAGTATACACATCATTAAATCAGGTTAATAGGTGTTTGAAATGAACATTGTGCTTCATGTAAGAAATTACTCTTACCTTATCTGCAGCAACACCAGACAAAGCTGACAATGCTGTGCAAAGATCCAATATATTTCCAATTTTGGGAACAACTACTTTGTACTAGAAAAAATAAAATGTCACTTTAATTTCTTAAGAGAACAAATATGCACCAGAATAAAATCAAACAACTTATCACATGTTCAGCATACTTCACGTACTTCTTTCAGATTCCTGAACTTAAGATGCGAAGTATGTAAATCAATTGACATAAATTCCAAAAGCTGCTGAAAACGTAGTAGTTACCTTCACAACTTTACTCATAAAACCACGCACGCTTCGAATCCTATACTTACTAGTTTACATTATACTACTTTATTTTGTGATGTTATTTTACTTTCTTCATAAGAAGACTAACAGCACCAATTACTTCCATTTACATTTCAACAGCACCTACTTATTGAAGCATTGAAATAGTATGCATGCTATTGACTAGATTCTTGAATTTGGAATACAACACAAGTTGTTTTTAAAGTATTACTGGGGAAAAAAGCAATGGCAGGCAATAAAGACTGAATTCTAATTTCACATGCAGAGAGAGAACCTGATGATTAACAGTCAAAGAAAAATCTCTCTGTGGCTTCCCTTAGTGCAGTACACCTGCAGTTTGTAATGAAATTCCACACACAACTCTTACCTGTTATTTGCATAATAAATAAAGACAGGATTAATTAGAAATAAGGTATTACAACTTTGTAATTAATTGCCAAGTACAGCATGTGTTTGTTATCTCCTTAAGTCTTACAGTTATCTAGACTCACAAAAGCTCTACTGAACTCGTACTCTTCCCAAACTCTATTCATTCCTGCATAACCATCTCACATGCCATACAGGGTCATCTTCAACTACTGTGTGCCCCTTGTGCAAACCTGTTCTCACAAATAATTAAATTTCTAGCAGGCTCATCTCCCACTAGTTAATACATGTCCCTTTATCTTTGACTTGCCTAACTCATATTGCCTTTGAGAATGCTCCCTTTCCCCCCACTTTCCTTCTTATAGTATTCTGACTTCAGGAGTTAAAGCCTTTTTGTAAGTCTGCCTAACTGCCTGTGACTTATTTATTTCCTCGCTTATCCCATAAGGTACAGCTAGAAACATTTCATCATGATTTTGTTACCATAACTTATGCACATTGTTTCGTGCCATTCTAAGGTGTATAATACCATCCTTCCTAAAAAAGGCAAGAGAGATACTCTTTACAAAGAAATCTCATCTGAAATTTTTTCTTTTGACTATGAAGTGATAGCACAGAAGAATTCAGGACTACCTACTATATTTAGTCATGGGTTTTTTTGCACCACTTATTACCAATATTTGCCTTTTGAGGCTAAGAAGCTCAGGAATTAAATCTGGATTAAATGTATAAATATTTTTTTTATAACCATACAAGTTCATTATAGCAACACTAAAATAAAATATGAGGACAGCATACATTTTAAAGATTAAGAAGCCTTATTAACAGAACCACAAAGAAATTACCAATATCTTCCTTGAAACTGGTAGAAATATAAAAAGGTATGTATAGTCTTCCTTAGGCTTTTAAGTGGGATTTCAGAACACATATCAGAAAACTAAAGCTTGTTGGATTTGCTAATTGTACTTCTAAATTTAAAAATGTAAATGAACTCAGGTTCATTGTTAATGCCACATGAATCAGGAGTTTTGTACATAAACTAAGAAGCTTACCTGCATAGGCTTTGCAAGTGGATCCATTCTAACTAAATAAACTTCCAAAGTTCGTTCTTTTTTCATGGGTAACGGAAGTGTCAAGTAACAAAAGGGATCAAAGGTTACAGATATCTTAGCACATTCAGGACAAACTAGAGTGGATTTAAAAAGGCCATGAAATATATCTACAATGATGGAATCATTTCTTTTTAAATGGTTCTCCCAGGCTTCTTCAGCAACCACCTGTAATTAAAGCATGACCTGGGTTATGACAAAGTAGTAGGAAATGAATAGTGAGAATTATTAGTAAGAGTACTTGATAGAACATTCTCAGTTACCACCTAAACATAGAAATCTCACTCCAAAGGACCCTGTAAGATATGTTACTATTCTCAGGATCACAGGTTAAAAGATGTATGCTTTTCCCAGGACAGAGATTCTGCCAGTGGTATTACATAGTCTGAGAGAGACTTCAAGTGCCTTGGGGCAAGACAAAAGCAAATAAAACTATGACTTCCATCTGAAGTAACTCATACTCGTAACAAAAGAAATTATCTATATGCTTGTAGCCCACTGCTAGAAGAGTTTCCCTAACGTGACAGTATGGGAGAGAGACAGAACACTGCATACTGTAGATATAAGAATAAAAGAACAACAGAATGGAAATTGTTTTTCCAACTGAACTCAACATTGCATTGAATAAAAAGGTCTTCAGCAAAGCCTTAACACACACCCCACACCTCCCCCAATTACCTTCCAAATAAACAGAAATTTACACAGGTACTTGAACAAGATCTCCATTTTAAGGTCTTGGCTTATTTTCTGAAATCTCTTCCAGAAAAAGCAACACTTGATCAGTGTCCCAATCTTTCAGTGCACAATCACGTAGAAGTATCTTGCAACGCATAGCCTTGACTAAAATGAAGATCAACACCAAAACCACTACCTTGTCTGGTCTCCCATCTGCATCCTTTAACTGAATGTAAGGCTTTTTCCTAATTCGATTCAAATCCTCATGTAATCCATCCAAGAGAAAAGCCAGTAGCTCTTGACAATCTTGTTGCTGATAACCAGAAAATTGTGGTGCAAATCGTCCCACTTGTGTCTAAAAAACCAAACCAGCAAATACTTTTGGTACCTTAATTGTTATACAGAATAGATACTTCCGAGATGCTACAGCAGAAAGCTGAAAAGGTAAAACCTATAAAGTTAAAAAAGATAAGCTTTTCAATAGAGACAGGAAGCCAGAACTAATTCTCAAAGACCACAGCACAAGAACAGTTGTGCTTACAGAACTTATTTAAACATACATCCAAGTGTTTTAAATGAATGGACTGCATTCTGATGAATATTATTTCATATTCTTATTCTTGCATAGTTCCATAAGTTTTAAACTTAAACTACAAACCCAAAACTGACAACATATATTTGGGTTAAATTCCCTACTTACCTTAAATGCTCTTGGGGTTACATAGCTGTATTTTCCTGACCACATTTGCTTGATAAGCTCTGCGTAAGATTTTGCTATTTCACCTCGCATTCCTAAAGGATTGTCAAAATTCAGCTCTTCTTGGTATTTATCATTGAGGAAATATTCTGTAAGAGGAGGTGTGTTGCTCAGACACTGTAAACAGAAACACAGAATTTTTAGAACAGTGATTTGAATTAGTTCTAAACAAAGAATGTTTCAACTTTGTTAAAGTAGCCATGGACAATACTTTAAACTGTAATGCCTAGTGCCTGCAAGACTCTGGGGGGAAGTCTTTGCCAAGAAACAAATAATGGTTTTAAACCAAGACTGGCTACAGCTATCATTACAAATTATGTACAGATAATATTTTTCAGAAGCGTTACGTAAGAAATTATTAGACATTGTAGTCCAGCCAACCACTGTGTGACAGCACAATTTGTATTGAGGTTCAAAACAAACAAAAGAAGGTGGTTCTTCATACACAAACAGTAGCTTTATGAAACTCCTTGCTGAAAGTTGTTATAGATGCACAAAGTTTACAGGGCCTGAAAGAGAGGCTGCATACATGCTTCAAAGAGAGAGCCAATAGGGATTATTAAATCAAATTACACCACATTCAGAACAACATCTGAGCAGAAAATAGTTGAAAACAGAGAGGGGTTTTTTGGGGTTTTTTTTTGCAGGGGTGGAAGGGAAGGTGAGGATGCTTGCCCTGTTCCTTCTCTTCCTAGGCATTTGCTTATGGATGCTGTTGAAAATAGCAATCTATGCCAGATGGACCAGACCTTGAATCAGAATTGGTACAGCCCTTCCTATGTTCTTTTAAATTTTGTGACGCTGTTTAGAGCTGAAATTAGTTCAAGGAAAGCAAGGGCCTTGGTTTAGACTGAGAGAATGATTTATCCTCTGTACCAGTTTGCCTCTTCTGTCAGCACTTAGTGACAGCAGGATGTAATCACTGAAGCATGATTTAGGAAATTTTGCATGAATTTTAGGAAACCAGTTTGAATTTGTGTGCTACTCTTCACACTCCTTTAAACAAAAACTTCCATCACTCTGAAATGATCCCCATGCCATGCCTTAAAATATAGATTTAGCAAAGTTTCTTCATTGCATATTATAAGGTTTTCTGCATTCTTTCCTCTATTAAAGATTCCAAGAAAGGTCAAATATTTCATCAGTCTCATCTGCCTCTCTGCAAACTAGGGGAAGAACAAAAATTTTACCTCCACATACACTACTGCATAAGATGCAACAATTGAGACTAGAAGAATTACAATTCTATCAAGCGGGGCAAAAAAAGTTATTGTTACTTCCACTTATTATACCTGTGTAATATAACAAAGCAAACCCAGTCATATTCAGTAGAGAGCCGAGTTTCATGCCCATATCACACTCCTTCCTTTCTCTACCTCCTCCACCTCCTCACCTTCAGGAGTTGTCAACACTGCAAAAAAATCCTGGTATCACAGGCCCTTTTGGACACTGAGGATTGAAGAAAGCTCACTTTTCACTTGCTACTACTTTTATTCCTAGTAGTGGTGATCCCAAGCCCCACCTACCTCACAGATCTGTGTTGTCAGTTCTGAACTGATCCATGCAGCTAAAAGCAGAAACACCTGGTCTCTCAAATCCATACAGAAGTGGTCAATCAGGGTTTTCGAAAGATTATTTTTAGCATCAACCTACGTGAATGGATGGACTACCAAGTTCTATCACACTAAACTAACCATAAATAAAACTACACTTTAGGTAATATTGCATGTTCAATCTGAGTGATGTGACAAATTCTACTGCCCAAAGAAGTCCTGCCCCTTCTCTGCTGATTCTCATCTGACTGCACAATAAACATATTCATCTCACTAACCTGTCAAAAACCTATTTTTTCTCCTCACTTTTCTTCTGGGTTATTTTTGGGCTGGTTTAGGATATCAAATCCGTTCAGCTTAGTGTGAGGAATGTCCAGAAAAAGGTACTAAATGCAAACATAGTAAATTTTCTATGGGTTCTTAGTCAAGCACTACACAATGTGCTGACAGTGTGTTGTTTCACCAAAACCCTAAAAAAAATGTATTTATTTATTTATTTTTAGTTTTTACCCCATAGATTAGTTTTGTCACTTTCTCAGAATATTAATTTATATTTGTCAGGAACATTACTACAGATAATCTCCCTTTTTCCTTGTAACAATTTCCACATAAGATGACACTGATGGCAGTACTGGAATGCACAAGTATCTATCTGAACACAGCAATTTCTGAGATATAGAGCTGACATCTTTTCTAAAATATCAAAGGCCACAACCTTGAAAAGAGTAGCTGCTAAAGGAACTAATGCAGTTGGCCACATACCCACTGATCTTTTCAACATAACTGACAAAGCTAAATAATTACAAACATGTTTCCTCCTTGAAAAGGCCAACAACGGAGAACTATTTAAGATCATAATTAAAGGAAAAAAAAGATCCAGAAGCCAATTTGAAAGGAAGCTCACATGCCTATTTTCTCATGATGTGATATGTTGCAGGTTATCAAGGAAGCCTTATGGAAAGCATCAATAAAAAACCAAAAACCAATGAACTATTAGAACCAAGACAATCTACCAGACAGCAAAGTCACAGATTTATGTGCCCTGTTCAACCTAGTGGTTTTGTTGGGATTTTTTTGTTTGTTTTAAAACACAGACATCGGTAAACTAACAAGTATACCAACAGATGAAACCAAAAAAGCTAAACAAATACAGTAAAACTACAGAAAAATATTTGTGAACTAAAGAGATAGCAGAATGGTACTTCATTGCAGGTATTCCACAAGTATTCCACAAAACTTCTATAAAGTGCTCAGTCTCTAAACCCAAACTGGTCGTTTAGCTAAATGATCATGGGAAAAGATGGAACACAATGTAGAAAACTCCAAGACCAACTGTGAAACAACAAACTGCAGAAGAAAAGGATAGGTCTTCAGCATGACAGAGGTTAACATTGAAATTATATTCCATGTTACATATTATTACTTGGAAAAAAAGGGGGAAAAAAAAAAGGATTTTTCTGTAGCAGAACAATCTGTGGATAGCAACTATTTATCAAGGGATCATAATGAACCTCCAAGAAAATTAGACAAACAATGCAACTGGATGAAACAAAGCTTCACACAATTTGTGCATCAACTGTATCATGCAACACTGCATGCATTGTTGATGTACATCCACATGCATACAAACACCATGGAAGAATTCTAAACTACTGAGTCAAAAATCACCTGTAAAGACAGATATAGTCTACTGTTTAGAGAGCACAGCTGTAACTAGTAGGGTGTGGGAGACATTAAGATGCACAGGAAAATGAACAATAAATAATCTTTATTTTTAGTGCCTTATATATATGTATCTCTCAATGCTGTAGCCTCACTGGAATATTGTAATTCAAATACCAGACTATGATCTTGTTAACAAGTCCATCTGTCCAATGAAACCTTCATATAAGTGGAAAAATAATAATAAAAATAGTCATGTTATACTTGTCTAAATCCATATAATTTAAGTATGGGAAAACTCTGATAAAAGAGTTTGCAAGGAGTCTGATTGTTTAATTGATAAAAAGAAAATAAAACGAGTGAAGAAAGAGGGCCACCAAGACAGTCAGTGGCCCGGGAGCACTTGCCCCGTGAGAAAAGGCTTAAGCATCGGGGTTTGTTCAGCCTGCAGAGAAGAGTGTTACAGGGAAACCCAATAGCGGCCTTCTGGTACCTACAGGGAAGTTAAGGAGAAGATGAAACCAGGCTCTTTGCAGTGGTGCACAGTGGGAGGACAAGAAACAATTGGCATAAGTTGAAACAAGAGAGGTTAAGGATATAAGGAAACAAGTTTTCACTGTAAGAAGAGTCAAGCAGTGGAACCGAGAAGCTGTGCAGCCTTCGAGGAGGTTTTCAAGACCCAATTGGATAAACCTCTGGACAACCTGGTCTGACCTCAGAGCTGACCTTCCTTAGAGCAGAAGTTTCCAGTTTCACTAGAAAACTCCTGAACTTCCTTCTAACCCAAATTATCCTATGATGCTAAAGTAATGAGAAAACATTTATTCACATCCCATAAGGGATATTACATGGAAATAATGATAAAAATAAAATTTCAAAGCAAAGCAAACATCATTACCTATTATGCTAGTGAACTGGAGAAATGAGAAGCAGACAATAAGATCATGAAATTGAGCTAACAATTGAGGGTTCCTGTAAGTATCATGGTTCTTCAGCTGTCCTATTTAATAACAATTTTATGCAAGGGACATTGAAATTTCCTATTTCAGCCTTCTACTAAAAGACCAAGAGCTGACAGACTGAAAGAAAGATCCAAGTAATAGGAGAAAAAGTAAATTACTTTATACCTGTCTATCCTACTTTTGTCTGAAGCACTTAGTGTCAGACACGGTAAGGAGCACTCAGCTAATACACCCCTTAAACCAAACTCCAACGAAACAGAGCACTAAACCCTTACTCATTTCAGGTTTTGGTGAAGAGATGTTACGTTTTGTCTGGATAAATTCATAGCCACAAATAATTAGAGGGAATGTTAATCAGCTTTTTGAAGAAAGAAAACTGCTGAAATACCCCATTGCAAAGCTTTCAATAGCTTTCAATAGCTGTTGTTCAAAGGTCAAGTATATATATATTCACACTGATGGAAAAAACAAAAAAAAATTAAAATGTGAGGGGAAAAAAGCATTTTTAATTAAAACATTTACTTTCATTCTTCTCCTATTTTTGAATTACAAAATGAAAACTTTGTGAACTCTCAGATTTTCACTACAAAAAGAAAAAAAACAAAAACATTTCCCACAGAGCTCTAATCACTAGTATGCCACCAATAGGGCAAAGCAATACTTAGGTAACATCCACAGGTGGCAGCACAGCAATGCTCGAGGAGATTCATAGTTTTCTAATTTTTTTCAGCTTAGAATACAGTCATGTACATGAGTGAATGTGAATAAAACATCTACTTGCCAAATGCTTTTTTTTTTTAATATGGGTTCAAGCATTCATAATAATATATTTTCATAAAGTCCACAAGCTCCCTATTGTCCTTCCTGTTTTATTTAATGCTCAGATCTGCAAAAGCATTTAGGCCTTAATAATAAAATAATAATCAAGCCTTAGGTGTTA